TTCAGAAAGGAGTATTAGGAGATATCTGTTTGACTGTTGATCTCTTTTGTTTTCAAGTAGCGATGCTGGCTTTTGCAGGTGATAATGTTCCTCTGGCTAGTAACACCAACACGTTTTCCAGAAGAACTGTAGATGTACCTTAGACTTCTATCACTTTACAAGCCAAATCTGTACACAGAGAGTGGGGACGCGATGCCAGTCTCCTTGGTCTTGAGCATTCACTGTGGGTATAAATCATAGGACATAAAACAAGCCTACAGAACAGCTGTTCTTTCAGCTTTTGTAGGGCCCTAGTGGAAGTGGAACTACAACTGTTGGAGGTCACAATTCRCATTTATTTAAGCAGTGTGCATGGCTTCTGTCTTTTCAGGTTGGTTTTGAAGCCAATTTATCATAGAGTGTGGGAGTCAATTAGGTGTGCTATTTTTTGCAGGGTCAGCACAACAGTCCTGAGCCCCCTGAAGCTGTAAAGGGCCTGGCTGCATGCACAGCATTGCTGTGGATTTCAGCAAGAGCTTTGCCAGAAGCAGGGGCATTCACCCTGGATTGCCCAGGGATATGGCAGATGGGATGGAAAACTTGAAAGAAATAGCCTAGATAGTTAAAGTTTGTTTGAAAAAAAACATGAATACGAAATTACTGTGAGAATTACCTTTTTAGTGCTCATTGGAGGTCACAAACGACTTTCAAATGAAGTGGAAGTTCTGTTTTAGTAATGATTCCCTTCAGGTGAATATGATACCCTTAAGATTAAGGGTATGAGAGAAAATAGTGTATTATTCCAGAATAATTTATGAAATGGTACAGAACACCTTTTTTTTTTTTTTTTTCTCTGCTGCCTTAAGGGAAAATGAGCAGCATGGAATTAAAAAAATAATTAGAAGTAGGAAAGAAGTAAAGAAATATCTCTGAGCATATTTTCTTTGACAAATAATCACTTTTTCTTGTTTCTTAGTGATTGCTGTGAAATTCTCTTTATTTGCATTGTATGTTGACTGAAGACCTTGTGTGGGTATATGTAACATAATGTATGTAAGTGTGGAGTACATTCTATAATAGTTATTTTCAAAATCCAATATTGCTTTACAAAGTTTTACAGGTTAGGATTAAGGATTAAGCCATCAGCAGTGAATTTAAGCTTTCTTTCCCAAGCTTTGTGTATATAAACAATTCACTAAAGTTATTACAGTCAGAGAACTTATGAGCAAGTAAGAACGCACTGTCCAACATGTCTTGAAATGCCGAATATGTAAGTCTGTGAGTGTGGACATCTGGAGAGGAAGGGGAGGATGTTTGAGATAAAATTGTAAAATGAGCTGGTCTTGCCCTTCATTGAGATTGRATAGAAGTATTTGTAAGTATAATATCAGGGAGAACTTACAGAAAAGCTAAAGTCAGTCTTGTTTCCCTTCTAATATGTGTGAATGGTAAAATGTGCACATGTATGTGTATATGGTTAAAAAAAAAAGGGATGTGAAAGGAATTCCACTGCAGAATTTTAATTATTTACTCTCATTTTCCTGTGCTGGCATTTTCCCATCTTGTCCTCTGGTTTTCAGGAAGACTTTAAAGTTTCTACCTATGCCTTGGTAGATGAGGAACTGACTTCTGTGTAAGGGCAGGTARACACAAATGGGGCAAGAGAGAGGAAATTCAGCCTTTGAGAACTTGTTTCGTGGGCATGTAGGAGAAGTTGAAATGAACTGTGTTGAAAAAGGCACTTACGAGACACATGTAATGTATGACTGTAAAACTGGTGGTTTTCACCACCTCATGCCAAGTTGTGAAGGGGTTACTTCACGCGCAGAAAGGGCCGTACATGATGCAATAATCTAGATTGAATAAACATTGTTAGGGTTATTTTAGAGAACCCCATCACTTACTGCAGCTCTTTTTTCATCCTGTTCCCATAGTGCTTCCTCCTGCTATTCATCAGGCTTCTTCCAATTTCCCATCTGCAGCTTGAGAGATATGACTGCCCTTGGAAGGTTTTCCTGGTATCTGATCCTTCCTTCCTGTAACAATAAGCTCCAGTCCCAGCAACAACCGCTGGGTTGTCTGCCTTTTATTATTCTGGCCCCCAAAATTTCTTTCTCTGTGCCTGTTTTCTGTGCAGGTTGTAAATATTCGCTGACATTATTTAGCATCTGTTGGTGTGGATAGCTACAATATGGTGTCTGAAAAAAGGCAAACTGATGAATTCCAGACAGTTTCTTTATTCTTATCCATACAAGATGTACATTTGCATTAAAGAACAGCATCGCTATATTTAAATACATTTTCCATTACTGTACATTTCCATTTCCTATTCCCTATATTTTTAGAAATAAATTTATTAAGTAATTTCTGAATGTAAAACTTGAAGTCCTGTCCCTGCAGTAGACACAACTACCACACATGGGTGGGAAAAATGACTGGGTATGTAAAGAGGCTGGAAGATAAATGCCATCTGACCTACCTGAAAATATCAATCCAAATTGTACATGAACCGTCCCAAAATACAGGGGTGGGGAAAAGCTGATGATAGGCAAAAGGAGAAGTTGACCTCTGTGGCCCTTTATTGCCGAGTCTGATGGCACAATTATTTCAATGATTAGTTATGAGACTCTTCCAAAAGWAGTATAAGGTACAGAGTGTGTCCCTGATGTGGGACATAGGGAAGATTTAGTGGGAAGGGTTAGTCTTACATCCTGGAGATATATTTTGGGCTGATTATGTAGAGTTTGGGTATTATATACCCAATGTATATTATCTGTTGTAATGAAGATACCTTAAAGGCATCAWGAAGGAAAGTGTGTTAATTGTTGTTGAAACATGTCCCAGAAAATGTGTGTAACAGACCAATACATAAAGGACTAAGTGAATGGAAAACACTTACGAATACCTGCTGATTTCTTACAAACATTGCTTCAGAGATTTGAGAAGAGACAGAGGAAAGAATACTAGCTTGAGGAGTCAGTGCAGAGAAAGCACAGCAGACTATGCACTTTAAAACTGCGTAAGAGGAAATAATCACACTTAAAATGTGAAAAAGTGCGGAAAAAATCTCTCCCTCTCCAATGAATTTTAATCTCCAGATATAAGTAATTTGTGTCAACAGTCCTGAGCTTGTTAGAGAAGGTGTTACTCAGATCTGTGGGCATTGACTGGAAATGTATAATTTTGGAGGAGAGAGAACCCTATCAAGCAACTAGGGTAATTACAGCTGTTGCTGAAAAGGGTCTCATCAGCCTAGGCTCTYGTAAAGGGCTAATTTGATATGTTAAATACGGACGTCTAGCAATCTGATAATTTCTTTAATTACTTGGAAAAACATAGGTGGAGTTTGTGCTATGAGCAGGTATTGCAAGCCAACCATGGTAATTCCCAGGGGCGACTATCAGTCTGTAACCTCAGAAACCTCTTTCAGATAAGGAGAAGATCATGAGAATTTCTACTCCTGTCTCCTCTCATAGAGTCTGTTGCGTGTGCACATGATTAGTGCGTACGATTTCCTTTGTAAATAGAGCCACAGCTGCATCTCTCACTTTTCTGTCAGTCCAGTCCCGTACTGGAATTACACTGCTCCTAGTTGTATCCTGGTGACATATTTAGTCCCAAATACCTGGCAAACCACTAGCTGTCTGCCTGTTCCTTCCTGCTCTGCTCTTCTTCCATGCAAGCTCTGCTTCCTCCACGTAAAGTTTGGGATAGGCAGCAAAGAYCTCATGAAATATGCAGTGTTAGATGGATGAGGAGCAGGAATGTTGCTCAGATGCGAAAGCACACTTAAAAGCTCCCCATGCTGCCCTGAGGGATATAAATGCGGAAGATACACCACTGCCTGTGCCTGTGGTTCTCCTGCCTCCTGGGTTGCTCGCAGGGCTGGGAAGAGGGCTCTGAGTGAATCAGAGTGTGTGGATGATCCTTTGGAGGCTTGCAGAACATTGGAGCTGTTAGTGTCTCCTTTTGGAAATACTGTTTGTGTGTGTGGAAGTGTTATTAAGTTCAAAAACACTTCATGGATAAAAGATATTTCTCTCAACAGCTCAGGTGAATGGCAGACATGCCTTTTTTCCCCTATCCTATCCCAAATTGCCTTTCTGTATTTGACTCTTCCGGATCCTTTTCCCCCTGCTGCTCTAGTCCCTACCAGTTACCATCCCATTCTTGGGACCTTTTCCCATGGGATGGGAAGGAGACTGAGAGGGTGACATGGAGCCTTCTTCAGAGCTTGGTGGAGCAACACCGGCATCCAGTGGCCTTCTCCGATCATCACAAGTTGTAAYTCTCAGTGCTGAATTTCGGGGAAATTGGAGCGTTCCTGTATTGTTTGGGAGTCTGAATGAAAGCTCTTAATAAAAACCAGAAATCAGTCCCTTGCTGTAGCCCAGGACATTTCTGTGGTGTTGAGTGGTGTTTTGAGGTGGGCTGGTTGCTAATTTCATTCCTATGTCCTTCACTCCTAACTACTTAGGGTGAAAACTTTGTTCCTGCTGCAATTCTGTGGGCATTTGGTGAAGGTCTGGTGGGCTTGGTGTGCCAMGTTAGTGTGACAGAAGAGACAGGCAGAATTACCAAGGGAAAAATGACCCCCAGTTTTGTTTCCCCCTGTCCAGTTTGGGTGCTGTCCAAGATTTGTTTTCTTGCCGGAACATTGGCTCTGTTTTATTAAATCCTCTGGCTCTTTATTTCTTCCCCCCACCCCTCCTTTTTAAGCAAATCTTTTCATGCGTCTGATTTTCTTGTTGTGCAGTTTCTTGCTATGCATTTTAATTCAGATCTCATGCATATGCAAATGTTTTCCCCCTGGCTGTGCTCTAATGATTCATTTTTGCCATCCATTCTATTAATAAAAATAAGTTTTGATTTAAAAATTACAACAAATGAATTTATTCTTCTGCTTTATATTGGCACAGAGATCTTATCRCTGTTGAACTTCTGGGCATTATTGTGAAGAAAACAATGAATAATGGAAATAAGAACCTACCCTTTCTATAACGCTAATTTCTATAGCATTAATGGCTTCTCAGCCTTTTGGCTAAGATCAAGTGTAGTCTGTGATTAATTTGCATGGTCAATTGTCAGGAAAATTGTTTTAGAGGAGTTGTTTTAGAGGGATATTATTCCAGGAAACAAGGAGCTGATCTTCCTGACTGTGTTTTCTCTGCAGCATGAATCAGCTTTTAAATATTTTGTAAGTTAATATAGGTATGCTAAAGGCTTTGTGCCTAATTGTTACAGCTGCACTCACCATTGATTCGTGGGTTTCATTCTTTTGATATTGTATCTTCTCTAAAAAGTTTTTTTTACTGTGATTGTGTTATTTAATGCATTTATAAGACATAATATTTATATCTGATGATGTTTATAAATTAATATTCATAAAATATTGACAAAAGCTTAAAAGTTAAAAAGCAAGCCCAGAAAAATAACGAACAAAACATCCATTTAGCTTCAGAAAAGCTCTGTTCCCATCTAGCGCAGAAGTTTTCTTAGAGGACTTTGATGCAATGTGTTGTGTTCCAAGGTGCTTTTTTTTTTTTTTTTCTGGAAGCATCTCTTTTCTTATAGGCAGGTGTTTTGCACAATCCACCTTGACTTTTTTGTCAACAATGTAATGTGCAATAGATTGATTGAGCTACTCAGAAGTCAATTTGAAGACTTTGTGGAGYACTGGGTCTCATGGCATCTAGATGCTGGCACCAAAGTGTAAGGAGGCTCTAGAATGGGTGAAAATAGTGGAATTGGGGCATTTTTCTTGCTCTTAGTTTTTTTGTGGTGTGATTAAAATGAGAGACTTTGAGCTGCCATTCGGAGACACTCCATAAGGCAGAGGTTTAAAATACTGTGACAGGAGGAATGTCCAAAGCAGAGCAAAATCTATTTTCTCAGGGGCTATGACATATGGATGGTCAAGCAATATGGAAGGATTTAATCTTTAGTAGAGTACGTGCTATAGGTTCTTGTGCAAGATGAAGTGCTGATATGTGTGTGCTTCAATATATTGAAGTGTTTCTGTCATGTAGTGGCTTATACATGATGGAGTGAATGAGCTTGTTGTTTTAGTGTCAGGAGACTGTAATGGTGTTTTATCATCTTCAACATCTGTAAAGCCATTAGAATTAAAATTTTAATACTTTAAAATCCAAGTCTAGCAAAGTATTTTGTTTTCATTTTTTTGTGATAGTTATGTAATGTCAGTTCTGTGTTTAAGAATTTGGGCAGTCATAAACTCAGAAGTTTTAGCTTCACTTGCTCTTGTATATTGGTTTTAAGAGCATATGCAGTTAGGTAAAATGTTTCTACCTTATTTTTGCATGCTTTGTTTTGTCTTTTGTGAAGGAAATATTTAGAGGAAAGGAGAAATAAAACATTGCTCCAAACTTCATAACATTTACCCAAGAAATAATGATGATCTTCTATGTTAATCTCTCTGCTCGTAGAAGAAGAATTGCTCAGTAACTTGTCCATATTCAATGAAACCTGTGTGAAGTGGCAGAGGAAAACAGGAAGATCTGGTGCTCAGAAAATATACACAGTAAGTGATGTGATACTTAACTAACTGTGGGAGAAGCCTGGTCTTGGTTAATTGTGGCAAGTCAGCAATGCAGAAGTATTTTGGGGTTTGTTGGCAACATTACTTCTTGGCTTTTTCTTTCCAGTGAACTACCTAAAACCCTCCATGTAGCTGTGTGAGAGAGGAAGGAAACACATCCTTTCCCTAGGATCTGTTGAAGGGCTTAACAGCTGTTGGTGTCCCACTGCAATAAAGCATTTAAATGTCTGCCTGAAACTAGGAAAAAAGCTTGTATTTGAATTACATTAAATTACGTTGAAGAGAGGTGACTTTGACATAGAAAGGCAACGACTTGTGCTCTGTCCCCATCTCTGATGTAATTATTTCAAGTGAATGGCAAATCATGTGCAGATAGTGGGCATGAAATAAAAGATAAAAGAAAATATTGTGCCTTTCACAAGACATTCGATCATCTTATGTTTAAATACTTAGTAACTTTATTTCCTGGAAATTGAAGGCAACTTTTGTAATTATTTCTTCTGCCACCTGTAAGCATAAGGAAGAATGTTAAAAGATACATACTCTGAGACAAAAATAAATAAAAATTCAGAAACAAATTGCTTAGTTATCTAAATAACTAAGTAATAGTCAATAATTCCTATGTTTTGGCAAGGACAGCATCCCAAGAATGTTTGCCTTTTCTGAGCATGCCCAAACATGCAAATAACAACTTCTAGAGGTGGAAAGCCAGTATGGTAAACACATTATAAGGTTGGGTGTTAATTTAAGGAAATAACCTGTCTTACTTATGCATTGTAAACTGGTGCGTTGTTAATTTGAGTGCTGTTATTAAGCACCACTTAGATGGAAAACAAAAGAATTTCCAAATTATGCTAGCAGTTCAGTTTTTTTTTCCATGGTTTCCAGTGGCTTCTGGCAAACTTTGCTCTGTCCATTGCACAATGTGCTCTGTGCATTTGCTTGTGCCTGAGTTTAGGTCTCAGCAGGGCACTTCAAAACGGTTAAAGCTGAAGGAAAAGTACATGGGCTAAGGTGCATTGCGCAGTGTGATCTGCTTTGAGCTCGATTAGGTGATTAGGTAAACTTTACCTGTTGGATTTCAGTCTGTCTTGTTGCTGCTTCTACTGAGCACAGGGAGAAAAGTAGAAAAAAAAACCTCAGAAAGTAGCAAGCTGGTGCCATCTGCATCTGTATGCTGTAAACAAGAGAAAGTGTGTTTACTGCTAGCTTATATTTGAGATGTTTTAGGGTCCCCATTATTTACTGTGCAATATACAAAGCAGTAATAATCTTCTTAACAGACATAAAAAATTAAGAATTTGCTTTATTAAGCCATCCTGATATAGCAATAGACCCAAACTTTTTTTTTTTTTTTGAATCCTGCCGTATTCCAAAACAACTGTAATTCTAGAATTAGCACTAATACTCAAAACTTAATTGCTTTCTGAATTGTGTAGAGCCACAGAATTGTTTTTGTTAATCCCTGGGCAGTTTCACATACTGGGCCAAAGGTGGGATGAGAAGACCTTCTCAGAGGTTATGACACTTAACATCACTACAAGAGAAGACAATCCAGAGGTCTGCTTAGAACTCGGCTCTGGCACTACCTATCTGGTGAATATTACTACTATCTCTTCTGCAAACATCACCGTCTCAGATACAGTAGCAGTTCAAACAAAAGGTAAGTTGTGTTTTGCATTCTCTGTGATATAGAAAAGATGTGACCTTGGTTTATCGTTTGGAGTTTAGCAGACCACATAAAAAGCTGTTTCCAAGACTATCCCATCTTTTATTCTCACTTCTCAAATAAAACCACCATCATCATCCCTGCTTTTCTGTAAGAAAGATGATTTTTTCCCTGCTCGCTGCAGACGACTGAACTTAGCGCTGTGGTGACAACTGCCCTTTGGAAAGGATTGGTATATTCATTTTTCAGGCATTGTCTTTTAAGCAAGGCAGGATTGGTGCGGTGGCACTCCTGGATAGATGCAGGATCTTCATTCATGGCACGGTGCTCGATGTTTTCCATGCCTTTCCCTAGTCAGTTCCCTGCCCATGGGACTGCTGGCTGTTGCCAGCTGTGTTTCTTGGCACTGCAGATACTGTCCCTCTTGGGCAGTGGTGAACAGTGTTTTAGAGCTTTTCCGTGGTTTCAGAGAACAGACATACCTTCTCTGTGAGCAGAGATACTTAAGTGTATTTATCCTCAAATGAATTTGCTGCTACAAGTGGTTCTGTAATAGCTTCATTGCCATCAGGAGGACCAAACTTTTAGATCTTCCTGTCCTTGCATCCCTAAATCTGGGACGAATAAATCCTTTCTTGATTTCCCAAACAGGAAAGCCATTCCTGGGTGAAAGCTGTTTATGCTTTATTTACTGTCACGGTAAATTACAGTAAATGGTGTGCTCAGAATGGAATGAGGTTCTATCTCCTACTTGGAAGAGTATGAAAATAAAATCTTGTTTTTGAGCTGCTTACATTGTATTATGTTAAAGAAGGTGGATTTTTTTGTAGTGAGTTGTTCAATTTTTTATTATCTCTGCAGTAAAGGAAGCTTTCAACAATGTATTAATTTTTAATGACACCTGCTTGAAATGGCAGAGAAATGTCAGGGGAGCTGCTATGGAAGACAGATATTCAGTAAGTGATAATACATGTTTTGAATCTGTGACTCTTTTGCCTTTCTATTTCAATCAGGTATGTGAGCAAACCTGTTGTCAACTATATTCCTCATACCAATAACATCTTTAATAAAAAGAAAAAAATGGAGTAAACTTGCATAGCACGTTTTGAAAAAGGAGTAAATCACCATGCTCTTTTTGTAGCCTCTGCCTCTTGGGTGCTTTATATCTATGTTAACTCTGTCTTTTGCCTTTATTATGTGTACCTTCAGCTGGCTCATTCCCAGGTGCCAAAAAGGTTTGTTCACATCCCATAAAGTGAGTCTGTTCTGCCCTGTGGCATAGCTTCCATCTCCTCTATCCCAGTAGCACATTTGTACAGSAGCAGTCCCTGCCAGGACGCCAAGCACCTGCTGTTGTCTCTGATCTCCCTGTGCTCAGAGGTGCTCACGGTTACACAAAGACCTGGGATCCACTTAAAAGGTGATTTAAATATAGCAAGCATTTTAGTTTTTATTAACAAGAAAATGATCTGGAGAGGTCTTAATGTTAAATAAATGACTTTATGATACTGTAGGACATGAACAGTAAAAATAAYTGCACACAAATCCAAACAAAACAAAAAAACACATATCTGTAATTTTGTCTAGAACCTTGGCTTTCTGTAGGCAGATTTTGGGAGATTCTTGGTGTTCAGAACACATTTTGACATAGCTTGAAATTTCTGAATTTTTACTGAAATGAAATATCTTGATTTGACCCTCGAGGTCAAGCCATAGATGAAATATCAAGAAATATCTTGATTTCACCCTCAAGATCAAGCCACAGATGTTTGCATGTGAGTCCACCTTTGTGTCTCATTGCTTTGCACAGTGAGGACACACTGTGCTGAACGTGTTATTGCCATGCAAGCAAGACTCATGGGAATTATGTTCCTCATAGAAAAGAGGATAGACTAGGAGGAGGAGAAGCAAAGAATTAGAGCAGTGTCAGARCTGATAAGCAAAAGGGACTGCGCTTCATGTCA